GTTTTATGCGTGTGGACAGTACTGTTGAACTACGCACAGGCTTGAGGGTGATGTTTTTATGTCTTCATCTGTTCTACCAGTGGCTGTGACGATTAGTCTGTACAGGACTTGTCCTTTCTAAAGCCTGCCTGTTCTGGACGAAGTCGTTCTTCTATAGCATTTTTGAGTCTTTCCAGTATTATTCTTGTCAGGATCTTGCTTGAGACAGAGAGGAGAATGATGCCACGCCAGTTCTTGCATTGTCCCAGGTCTCCTTCCTTGGGTAGCTTCACTAAATGTCTTTTTTTCCAGTCAATTGGAAATTTTCCCTCTGACCAGATATTCTGCAGGAGAGGTAAAAACATATCTGCTGGAGTCTTTATGTCTGCCTTCAGGGCTTCTGGAGGAATTTCATCAGGCCCAACTGCTTTCCCACTCTTTAGTTTCTTCACAGCCTTGAAGGCCTCAAAACCTGTGGTAGGGGCGGTAATCACTGCTAGTTTAGAGCCTGCTGGTGGTATGTTTGGTGTTGTTTCTGGTGTTGGACAACGTAGGAGTTCTCAGAAGTGTTCTGCCCCAGCGCTTTTTCTGGTCTTCTTCCTTTGTTATACCGTTGCTTTCCTTGACTTTTCCTGGCTAGGTCTGTGATGGTCTCTTCCCAGGTTCTTGTGATTTTGTACATGGTTCTGAAGTCTCTTTTTTCTGCTGCTTTCTCGGCTTCTGTAGCTAGCATGTTATAGAAGTGTCTTTTATCTCTCCTTACACTTTTCTTTACTTCATTGTTTAGAAAACTGTGTCTGTCTTTTGATTATTATTTCTTTTGTTACCTCACATCTGATAATTTGCTGTTTGGGAAGTTTTCTTTCTTCAACCAGTTTCCATGTGTCTCCTGAAAGCCATTCCTTGTCTCGCTTTTCCCTAGGATCTTTTCACATGTGTCTTTCCAGTTGTCTTTGATGGCGTCCCAGTGTTCTTCTAGTGGTGTTTCTCGACAGACATTGTTAAGGACCTCAAATCTGTTTTTCAGTGTGATGCTAAATGTGTCTCTTGTGCCCTTTTCCTAAAGTCTCTGGGTGTTTAACTTGATGTGTGGTCTGTCACAGTTGTCCATTGAAAGCTTTCAACTTTAATAGTGCCTTGTACTAGGTGTTGTCTGAAGCTACACCAGCCCCTCTTCTTGATCTTGTATCAAGAGACTGTGTCTCCATTTCCTTGAGATAGTAATGAAGTCTATATATATGGTTCTTGGTTTTTCCATAAGGGGAAATCCAAATTTCTTTTTTGTGCTGGTAGACACTTCCTTCTATCACAAGATCATTGAATGCACAAAAATCTGTGAACAGCTCTCCATTCTCGTTCAGAGAATGTCCCAGGTCTCCTTTCTTCTTTGACAATCAAATCGCATAATTGTCTGAACCTATCTTGGCATTCCTGTCACTCATCAAGGTTTTCATGCCTCGCCTTGGTGCCTTGTCTACTGATGCCTGCAGGTTTGTGTAAAAATCTTCTCTTGTTTCTTCATCTGCAGTGTTTGTTGGTGCGTAACATTGGATTACAGTTACTTCTCTTCCTTTGGAGTGGAATCTTACTGTCATAATAATTGATGAGATTGGTTCCCATTCAATTAGTGCATTGGCAGTAGCTGATGACATCATGATGACAACTCCTCCATCATGCTCATGGTTTTCATCTGCATGTCCAGAGTATCTTTTCTCCGCCAGTCAATGAAGACATGACAGTTCAATTCAATCTGCTCTCGCATATTCCAAGCAGTTGGATTTTATGTATTTCCTCATCTCTCTTGCTACCTGGGCTGCCTTCCCAGTTTCAAACATGGTTCGCACATTCAAGGTTCCTATTCTTGTTGCTGCTTTCATCGTCAGGAGAACTTTCGGCTGGCTAGTTTCCATACTACTTTCACCTGTCTGTGTCTTACGGCCTACAGGTGAGGCTTCTGCCTGAATGGAATTCTTCTTCTGTTGCTCTGGTTTCTGTAGCATTGAAAGTTTTTACATGATATTGATAGGGCTGCTAACCCTGCGCAAAACCTCCTGGACCCGGAGGACCGGTGGTTTTCTGATGGAGTTTTTCTTCCCCTAGTCAAAAGTTTCAGGTATTTAAAAGCGCTGGAGACTCGCCTTTTGCCACTGTCACTCAGCTACTGAAAGCATTTATAGGGTCACCACGAGGAGGTGTGACATATGTCTAGCTGGCAGAACCTATTTGAGAGGGTAGGCAATAACTCGAGGTCTTGGTAGTTTAACTTAGTGACATCAGTTGCACCCCTCTAGACCTTTACCAGCCTTTGACCCGATTTAAACAGGTATCGTTAAAAACGTTGTACAATGTTGAACAAACGTCGTAGTCATGTCATAAGACCCCCCCCCCCCAAAAAAAGAAGAGATGTCACTCATATAGAGTAAGACATGGAAATAACCAACAACATTCATCTCAAAAGCCCATTAGTAAACTTAAGCAATTATACAAATCGAGAGCAGAGCAAATGCATCCCTCTAAAACATCAGAGGCGGGATCAGGTGCCAAGGAGGACTTAACATCTTGTCGACCTGTCTAATCCGCCGTGTGATCCATGTCCGCATCGGGCAAACGGGAAAATCCGTAGGTGATTCGGTGTGTAAATAATGGCCTAACAATAATAATGGTATGAAAGACATCAGTCGGGATTCGACTTAATGACAAATGATATACTTGCTGACAAAGTCATTGCTTCGACCATAGAACTTGCAAATTCACGATTTTTAAAAAGACGGTTAGTGTTCTTGTTGCATATACTAGTAATTTCAGTTAAGTGTGAAGTTTTGATCTTTTTCGACAGATGTATCCAGTGTTAACAATGCTCGCCCCCGCTGTGTGATTGGTCTACTCATATTATCAACATTGTCACGGAAATAATCAGGGATTAGAAGAAACTTCAAGTCGTAAAGCTTGCGGTTAGGAGGCGTGTATTATTTACATTGAGCGCAGCCGTCATCGTAGGTTGTGACGTAATGCAAAACTTCACACTTAACTGAAATTACTAGTACTTGTTTTTCATTAGCTTGTCTGTTATTAGAAATTGATCGTACGCAGAGCATGCTCTTGCATATTGAATCGACTGGGAGACATACACCCCATTTCTGCTACACAATTAAGGGAAGGTGACAAGAGAAAAAATAAAGTTATCACGTTTATCGTATAAGTTTTGTTTTGAAGATTACCATTAACGTCTTAATTAAAATAATCAAATATGAGATGCGTCAGACTCTTTTAATGAAAGTAGGTCGAGTTGAAAACCACAGCCAGTTTTTTTCTTCTTATCCTCCAATAAAGTTTGCTTCATTTGAATACAAAAAAAAAAGGTTTGCTAATAACAGCACGTAATTGGTACCCATGGAAATTTAAATATATTGTCATATTCTCGAAGATACATGCAATCTATCTTGTGCGAATAGAAGTCATTTTTAAATTAGTATATAAGTACTAGTATAGCACCTGGTACTTTCGGAAGTTTTTATTGGCGCTGCTAAAATTATTGGACTTGTAATTGAGCACGATCATAGTTCGATATTTTCATATTTTCAGTCGACAAAAAAATGGAGCTATGACACATTGAAGATCTAGCGTATATTAATCCTTGACGAAGTATTTGTATTTTAAGCAAAAATAGTATATGCACATTTATTATTAGGTATGTGTATAATTTTTTTTATTAAGGTAGGATTCTTCTCACATTTCTTGTATTTAAAAATTAACGAAATTTTTACAGAATCAAGAGGACAATATCACTATAAGTTATTGTATCAGTGAGATTAGATTTGACCGCTTAATATTAGAGGCAAGGTCAGGTCAAGGTCATTACCTTTTTCCTGGGCATTAACAATAAAGAATTACTGTTTCCAATCATGCGATCTCTACTTGTAATTCAAAAGATTGAATGTTTTTCTTTTTGCGTAAAAAGATACTAACATATAGGGCCTATAAGATGATATTACCAAATTGACATGGATAATTTAAATAAAATGGATATTTGCTAATCCGAATTTCCTCTAATTTTGTTAAATTTTTGGATTTATTAGTTATTTTTATATGCTTCCTATATTTAACTTTTTCCAATTTTCACCTATAATAAAGTTGTTACATAATGGTACAAAATGATACAAAAACTAAAAGTTTTGATCGTTTATCAAGAGAGAAATAACACTTTTTACGGATTTTGGGCTCAAATCTGTACCTAGATTTGAAGCATTTAAAAGCAAATATAGTTCTAGTATATGTGAAAAATCTTATTCATTTGATATATTTTGAAACTTTAATCCCTTATTACAAGTGTATTAATTTAACTTACATTTAAAAATTTCGTCCAGTTTTTGATTGCGTAAAAATTATAACTAAATTCAATGTTCTATAATGATTTTGAGAGGCAGAAAAGAAGATATTTTCATACGCCACCATTCCGCCAAAAATATAGTCCCTGCTAGTTTTCAAACGCAGTTTACCATTTCTATTCAAAGTTGAAAAAAAAAATATGGTCTTTTAAATCTCTTACATCTAAATATATAAGACATATCAACAAATGTACTTTGAATATTCCATCTAGTCAGAAACCAGAGAAGAATCCTACCTTAAAAGAAAAATAAGTAACGTCAGATGCCTGTGTGCCTGCTAACAACTTTACTACTTTTGGAATATACTGCTACATGTAATCAACCTGACTGACATGCAACAATTACATTCGAGTTCAATTCTCGCTCGAAATTGACAGAAACGGAAAAACATCATTCCTTTCCCATGTTTCCTCAATTATAATGTCGACAGGATGTTTTGAATAAGTTGCATTTTAATTAATTTAAAACACAATTTCATGTTCTATGAAGAGTAAACAATACACATAATTATATAATTCATCATACATGTAATTAATTCATTGCTCAAAAATTGCTTTGTTATTTTTTTTCTTTAATCGAAGCTAGAAAATTTAGTGGCCCCTACTTCCCCCAACTCCTCCCCTACATCTGACCTACCTTGAAATAAAAAGTCCAACTATATAAGGTGACAATCAATGCATATTTCAGAAGAAAAAAAATGCACAGTCATGGGGATGAACATCATATGTATACGAGTTATGTCCTGTGAAAAATCGGATAACCTATAATCGTAATGCTATTTATTAATAATTTCCCGATAAGGTTAATGTTAATCTTTAATAATCAATGATTATTCATCAAAATTTTATGTACATGTAATACCAGTTATAATGTATCGTTTGTGCTAAGTGTCAAATGAAAGCTCACAGGCATTTGTATGATGTTCTATGGAATATTAAATCATTAAAATAAACAAGATGTGTTTGTGAAATACTATGCGCCCGGCAGCATATTTTTAGCATATAGGTCACAGTTAAGGTCACAAGGTCATTGATCTTAGTGTCATTTAAAAGAACTTAATTAGTAGAGTATGCATACCAAATATGAAGTCTCTATCTTGCATTGTTCAAAAGTTATGGTGAATGTTCAAAAATGCTATTTTTAGCATATAGGACACAGTCAAGGTCACAAGGTCATTGACCTTGGTTTCATTTGAAAGAACTTAATTAGTGGAGTATGCATACCAAATATGAAGTCGGTGTAAAAGTTATAGCGAAGGTTAAAGTTTGCAGACAAACAGACAGACAGACAGGACAAAAACAATATACGCCTCGGATCTTTCGATCCAGGCGCATAAAAAGACTGGTATTTTTGCAGATGACTGAATGAATATATGTACTCTTTTTATCTTCTCAATCTTATAAAAAGATTTTCAGCAATAATTAAGATACATGTATATATAACTTTTATATTTTTAACGATTTATAGAATTTGTAATGCTTAAATTATTTTTTTTTTTTTACACATTTTTTTCTTCTATATGAGGCGATATGAAAAATGCGTGAGAAAGTACCTTTATAAAGGATCTCTTTATTATGAAATTCAGTATATAAGTAACTGAACCGATGGTTCTTCTGTTAGAACAATCGCAATTTGAGATTTTTACATGATAGCGAGACATATTTGACATTTAAACCTTGTTCAACTGTAAGTTAAAAGGCATTTTAAAAGTCTGACTATGTAAAGAATTCCATGCATGTATGTAGGGGTCAAGAATAGTGCTATGGGTACTTGCTATGTCAATCCAAAGTATGTTTGTGAAATATCTGAGACACCCACACGTGGACGTTAATAAAGCTTGTACTTTATTTTATTGCTAAATCGCCGATTAATGAAAAAAACTATATCACTAAGCGGTTAAGAATGTCAACTATTACATGTAAATTAATGCAATAATTTACGACTTTACGAGATGAATTACGACGTTTACAGTAAACGACATTTTGCCATAAGAGGTTGCTACAATGCATGAATAAGTTGATGTCACAGGACATTTGAAAATTCTATAGTCGACATAATGACTCTCTTCACAAAATAATACATCTCTTGACCGTTGAGTTGTATTTTTACTAACAATATCAGCACCGACTTTTGGGGCTTCTTTTATAAAATGATCAAAATTACTGCGATTACCTTATCAACACTTCAATTGTACAGAGGGCTCACAATTGATGAGTTGGCAGATGAGGGATGCTTACTCCTTTATGGTACATGATCCCACCTCTGGTGTTGTTTCCAGGATCTAGGTCTTTTTTGCCCTGTAACTGATTTGTAATGTTTTAGATCTAGTATATGGGATATTGTCAACTGTTCTTTATCTGCATCTTTTACAAATATAAATGTATATACTCTGACCAAATTGTGAGTAATTAGTAAATACTAAGATTCCTATTTGTGTCCTGTTTGTTACCAAGCTGCAATTATTAGAGTGAATCTAATTAGGTTCAGAAATCCAATTTATTACAATTAGCATATTCAGAAAATTTCGATAAAAACTACGGATTTCTTCCGATAAAAGGATTAACCCGGAGAAAATTTGTTAATTTACACGTATGTTACGTTAAGATATTTGTGTAAAGATTAATTTAAACATACTTACAAATTTTGACAATTTAAAGCCATCTCCATGCCATGTGGGTATCGCGTGATGCGTAGATGTAGGCTATATTTAACTTAGGGGTTTTTTGTAAAGTGAAACAAGATTTCTTATAATAGTTCTGGGATTACCTGAAGAAAAAAAACATATTAAAAGTGATTAGGTTCTTGGCATTGAGACTGATCTCCAAAGATTACGTAGATCTGACAATTAATTATAAGTGAAAGCACTAGCATCATACTGTTAAGAAGAAGTTGTATCATGAGGAATGGAACCTTTGATAAAGCATATTGGAAATGTCGTATGTTCTGATGCGACATGGATATTGATTTTTAGAAAAATTTCGTAATCTTAATTTGTCCAAGAGTTCTATAGAGTGTTTTAGAATCCACGTTTTATTTATTTAATTTTTGAATATTTTTCAACACAATACCCTTAAGATATACAAGTCACTGGCGGATTTAGAGGGGCCAGCCCCCCCCCCTCCCCGTCCTAAAAATACACAAAATTTGATAAATCAATGGTTTTTAATGCCTAGGTCACATTTAAGCCGATGGTCGGGCGACTAAATTTTTCTGGTCTTGTCGGCTGAAAGAACAGGATCGGCCGACACAGTATCGGGCGACACGGAGCAGTCACATTATTTCCGAGGGACACCGATGATAAATAACACAAAAAACTTGGATCTATAAATAACAAGTTGCAAGGAAAAGTGGCAGAATCTTATAAAATTGTGACTCAATGTTGAAAATGTGTGCAAAATTTGTATGGAATTGCATAAAAACGACAAATGGTGCATATCTGAGCAGCAAAGAATACTTAAGATTTCTTTATATCTTACGGAAAAATTATTTATGTTATTTTCGTTCAAAAATTTATATCAATCCATGCATCAAAATTTTGTTTGTGTTATGTATCCTTAATAGGTTAAATATTCACAAGTCGGCCAATCGTCGCCCGATCATCGCGCTCTGAGCTACAGATTGATTTCAACCGTCGGCCGAAATTTTCAACACCCTAATTGTCCAACGACGGACGACCGACTTAATAAACTGACCGCCGATGGTCGGACGATGATCAAAGGTTGGTCGACGGATAACTGCAGTTGAAGCAATCGGCCACCGACGCATGAAAAATTATCACTTGGACCGATGGACACAAAATTGGTCGGCCGACCGAAAAATTTATTAAAATCGGCCAAGACAACGGCCGATGAACAGACGACTGTCACCCGAAGAATCCCATTTGTGCTTCAAAACCCGTCGGCCGTTGGTCGTTTTTGGAAATGTGACTGGGGTTTTAGGTGTGACTGTGGATCCCTACCCTGACCCCAAACTGGTCCCCCCCCCCCTTCAAGATTTCTGGATCCGCCACTGCCACTGCTTATAATAGTTTAGTTAAACATTTACGCACTGGATTCTGCAATGCACTATCGTTCCCATCGTCGCAGACCACGGCCAAAATGTACGATCCTCTCCCATTCTGGAGAAAGCTATATATGCGGACTACGAACTGTGGCTTGAGACGATGTCTCTTTTTATTTTCCTTGATTCATAATTTATTTTTTTTTAGGAAATTAATTCACTGGCAGATTTAGAGTGAGATCCAGTGGGGCCCGCCCCTTTTATGTCCAATATATAAATAAGATTTAATAAATCATCCTTTTTGTGGATATGGGCCCCTACCCCAACTTCAAACTGATCGGGTCCACTTTTTTTAAGATTCCTGAATCCGCCACTGTTAAACTACCCATTGAATATATATAACCTGTGAAAAAAAATTAGTGAACGGAATTCATGCGGATTTTTTTTCCATTGAAGGACTGATGAATTTGTAATTTAAGATAACCTATATATATAACCAGACAAATAAATATGTTTGTGTAAACTACGCTTTAAAATAAGATATCAGATACTAGTACGGTAACTTACATTTAAGTGAAATACGCAATGTCCTACATTGAACTCGGTGATATTCCTAACTGATGCAATAAAACATGAGATTAATTAAGAAATTTTAAAACCTTTATTAAGCATTTTTGAAACTACATTTTAAAACTTAATTACTAATTAAGTGTATATTAAAAGATTTAAAGAGATTTAAAAAAAACGGTGGTGGTGGTGTGGACCCTCTTTAATAAAAATGAATTCTAATATGAATCACCGCAAGAAAAATTAAAGTATTTTATTATAGTTACATGTATTTATTCTTTTATGTCGATGCATCTAGTTTTAGAAGTTTCAACTCATTCACAGATCACTTTCTAAAATACTAGTAAGATAAAATTCGTCAAAAATCACCTTTCAGACTTTTTATCTCTAATATAATTAAGTAAACGAAGTTCGATTTATTTTACCTGTATTGGATTCCAAAACTTCACAGAAATCCCTGCAAAGAAAGATACACTGCAAGGACCATCAAATGCTCTACCAAGCTTTTATCTTTGCTCCTTACAAAAACTTTAACCTCGGTCATATAACTTTTGAGTGGGCGGAGCTGTGACTTTCATATTTCACAGGTGTATTCCTTATGACCTTGACCTTGGAGTTTGAACCATTCTTACAAAAAAAATTCCCTAACATTAACTATAGCCATAACTTTTGAATAGTTGGTGATTGGGTTTTCATACTTCACATGTGTATTCATTGTGACAAGAATTTTCATTGGGTATCAAAATATTTGACATTTTGACCTTGACCTATGAATTCGACCAACTTTAAAAATTAAAAATAATCTTGACCACAACTTTTGAACCATAAGTACTAGGGCTTTCATATTTTTCGTATAGTCCTTGTGAGATTGAGATAATCTTCCATTTGGTACCAACAATTTTGACCTTTTGACCTTGGAGTTCAACTTCCATTTGGGGAATTTATCCCTTGCTAAAAGCTGTCATTCGGGGGCATCAGTGTTTCACAAACACATCTTGTTTTCAATAGCAAATTTGAATGCGAGATATTCCTCATGGCGGATGGTTACTACTGCTAGGCAACTGATCCCATTAGAAATTTTCAAAAGGTCAGTGTTTGATGCCATGTTTACAGCAGATTTGTATAGTTTA